CTGTGGTCGGACAAGAGAGTTCCACACAGCTCTAAGGTGATTGATTCTGAAGGAAGGGGTTAAACACCATTACACAGGAGGCCGGTCGATAGTTGACAACGCATGTCCGCAGCTCGCCAGGCATGCGTGGCACGTGTGGTCGACACCTAAAGTCGCCAAAGCTGGCTACTCCCGGGCATACCTTCCGCGATGGAAAGCCCGGCGGACCAATGTTGAAGCCCACTCAAGTCGTACCGTGTGCGTGCGCGTTGTGTTGAGCTAGCAGGACATTCACCGCGGCGGGACTTCCATAGCGCTCCCTTTTGACGGTAACACTAAAGGCTCGTCGGAGCATTGTCGCGCATGTCTACAGTAGAATCCGGGTTGCTGACGTGTGGCGAGAGAAATGCGTCCGTTTTGAGTCGGCACGGTGTCGACCTCCCCAATAGGGACTTTGTGCCCTGTACTTCTCCAGCCAAATGAGTGTGCTCTATAGTAATTTGGTTTGAAGAAAGAATCGATACGCTGTTGTAACAAAAAAAAATGCAGGGTATGCCCGCGTTTACCCGCAAGGTAGTACTCACGAACAGTGCTTGCATACACCATGGACTCATTGGGCTTCTTTGGTGTGGGATGGTCATGCGGATGAAACGGTTGTGGACTGCGGACGAAAGGACACATGAAGAGCAGTGACGTGAAGAGCCGGTGACCGCGCCTGCTTAACGTCACTGAGCTCGGAAAACTGAGCCGAATACTTCCCAGGGGCTGGCGAAATCTGAGGAGTGCATCATTGTCAGACAATACACATGCTTGTTGTGTGCCGGTATGGAATGTTTGCGGTGCAGATTCCATGTGAACCAGACACGGGATCAGGAAGATTGGGGGTAAATTAGCTCCAAATCCTCAGCTTATCAAATGCGAGTCAAGCGCCTTGTTGTTCAGCGACAGCTTCGGGCGAGTGCGATGGTTGGAAATGTAAAAAGTTTGGTTTTGATGGCGGATTCTTTGTCATTATGATATTTTGATTTCTTCTCCCGCAGGGTATTCCGCTGGCATCATTCCGTACATCCTTCGCGCCGTGCGAATAGTGGTGATTTACCATTCCGCTTACCGGTACAAGTACGCGGCACTCGTGAAGTGGACCAAGCTACGGAAGGCGTGGGCGTCGAACGCTTTGTTGATGATCGCCGTGGCCTCAATACTCTACGCCATCTCTGCCCGACATCACAGGTGAGGGTCGTCGAAACACAGACTTTGTACGCTTCCTAATACAAGCAAGGGTGCTCCGGCCGTTTTGCAACTCGATAACTTTGGGCGCAAATTCGTTGTTTCCCTCGCCTTGCAACGCAGCGATGGACATGTGAAGCAAGGTTGTAGGTCACACGTCGATGGTCACTTTCAAGCTGCTACAAGAATAGTGGCAGTTGACAGCGCCTTCACGCCAGATTGTACATCCCATGGATTGCGTCCCTCGCCCGCGCATTGACATCGATGACGGCTAAACACGCGTTCCTATGGCGCTCTTTCGGCGACGATGGGGAGCAGACACGACTACGGATGCGCCTTCTTCGAGGAGACCATTGTGCTCGGAACGATGATGTTGCTCAACGCCCCAGGCTTCGTTTTCCTGCTATACAAACTCTCGCAAGTGCAAGACGTCTTCAAGCTTCGGCGGGAATTCACTTGGGTGTTTAACGTGGTTTCTTCGGTCACATGTGAGCGTGCAAGATATGTTTCCTATATCCTCCAGGAATCTCTTGCGACGGAGTTGATCATGAAACAATTTCATTAACTGCCGTATGATTTGTACAAGCTCACGCTATTATGACGGTGTTTGTCAAATGCCCCAGCAAGCTACTGTCGATGGTGAAATTCGGGATTGTTCCGAAAGACTGTTCAGCAAGACGCCAGCCCCGCTAGCGGAAACCTAAGCAGTGTTGCCCAGCTGAGAAGGAACACTATATCACCACGACCAGTGCGCACGAGTGGCCCGTTTTGGTTGTCGACAAAAAGCTTGCCCAATGCTTAAAAAATGTTCAGCAGCTTGTCCGAGCAGCACTCGTTTTTCAAATTTTACGTACACAAGTGTTCAGAAATTATATCCAACGGTTTTTCAGCGGTCCAGGTAGAGCTGCTGGGAGATACCAAAGCAGAGAAGACACAAGAGAACATTTCGAGAGGTCGGCAAGACGAGGATCCTCAGTCCACGAACTTGGCCACTTATACCGAAGATGGCTTTCGCAAAGAACTTTGAGTATCCCTAGAGTCATGGTCTTGGAACTTTGGCTTCTGAGATGTAACGGTAGCTCGCCGGGAATGAATGTGAAACACTTGAACGTCGGATTGGGCGAGTTTTTAGCCGAAATATTATTCAAAAACAATCTCGAATAAAACCAGAAGATGGGGAAACTCTCTCAGCTCTCTTCTCACGTAACTGTCCGTTGCTATCTGCTGGTCTGGAAAATGGTGCCTAAAGTTCGTGAAGTAGCACGAAGCGTACATGTGCTTCCTGAAACAATTCGAGTTGTGAGCTACCTTCTTCGAACACGTTGCTTTTGCCTCTGAAAAAATGATGTCCTACTTCACTCACACAGTCGAAAGTTGGGGCGTCCATATGGGAGTGTGGCACTTATCTTCATTCCCAGAAACGTATTCGGCCTGAAATATCGCCGTGAAGAACCCGAAAAATGCAGCTTGTCATTCTTCCAGCGTGGAAGACTTCTGTTAGTTGTTGGGAAGGACATGAAATGTTGCACAAAACGCATTGTGAACGCTTCAAAAACAAGTCATGACGAAACTTGGAATAGAAATGTCATTCGCTCTGCTTTTAGCGGAGGTAGAGGGGACTCACCCGACACAACTCGCTGCGATTCATATATTCGTGGGTGTCATGGCTAGGGATCGTCGGGGCAGACCAGGTTGACGTTGCCTTGACGTTTTCCACGATCTGTTGCAACACGGGTGGACGGTACCCCCCCTTGCACAAGGTCGGTTGCCCGATACACCGAGCAGATATGACGAGGTTCCTTAAGTTGAAGGTTGTGGCCATTTCGACCTTGGGCAAGGTGCCTACAAGGTCCCTGAGGAGGAAACCTTGACGCCACATGGGCACATGACACCTTGGTGCCGGCCTTACAACCTCTGACACCTTGCACATGTGCTACAAGGCCGAATTCTGGAACCTGGTATTATCTGCTCGGTGCAGGGGGGGTTATCGTCCACCTGTGAAGCCTCAATTCTTTGTTTTTCCTGTTGTCCTTCGTTTGTCGTCTGCCAGCCGTGTACATGCTAATCCAAGTGCTTTATAAAACTGGAGCTGTGGCGGAGACGCGCACTCTTCATCTCGTCTTGGAAATACTGACGCTGGTTGTCATGCTCAGTGTTTTGTTTTGGATGTGAGTGGCAGTACGCGTTTAGCGGCAACCGATCTGTTGCATCAAAGATCGTGCAGAGGTACCCGCACCAGTTGTGACTTCCACAGACTACCGCCTGCTCAAGCTAATTGTTTTCAGAGCATCCGTGTGAAGCTCGCGGAAGCGGCAGGCGACCCGGTTGTGTTTTGAACTGCGCATCCTTACGGCAGCAACCCGCCCCATATGCGTTTTGCGCTGCCGATCAACAATCACCACACCTTGGAAGGGTGCTGATTTCGGTGGCCATTCACGACGGTTGGTGCTGGTTCGGAATGCCAAGGGTAGTCCCAACAGAGGGTTGGGCGGTGTCGGCGTCAACGCGTTCGTTGGATCCAACGCACGGCGATGGCGTTCTGGGGTATGCCCAGGAGGGCGGATCGGTCGCCTCCATGTTCGAGCACTTCTGCACACGGAGCTTGTGCGCAGAGAGCTGGGATTTCATCGTCGCGGCTTGCAAATATGCGGTACCGTGCAGTCCATCGCCATGCTATTGGGGATATGAGTTGTCGACGTCCCACAGACGTCGAGGTTGTTGCACCAAAGCCATCTCAACAAGCGTTCGAACGTGAAATATATACCTAGTGTTCAAGCACACGCACGTAGATCACTCGTCCCCCTTGTCGCAACGAACCGATGTCTGATTGAGGCAGGAAATTTCAGACCCCGAGGAGCAGTACGAAATGTTCCTTCGCATCACGGAAGAATACTTGCAGCCAACCTCCCCTCAAGAGGTAAACATCGGCAGCAAGATGCAAGCGAAGATGGTGTCGCTGCAGGACAGCGTCAAGTTTTCGAGCCTCGACGGAGACTCCCGCCGCAACGTACTTCAAGAGCCCCTGAAAGAAATTGTGCGGATGCTCGAGGAAAACCTCCTGAACAAGTTCAAGCAAACCCCAGAAATGCGGAAGAGGCGTGAGGACCTGGAGCGCCAAGACTGGTGTGAGTCTCACTCCCGTTCATGGGCATCCACGTATTTTGGCCGACTTGGAATCAATCATGACATTTCTTTACCCATTCCACCAGGGCAACAATCGGTCGAATCGCGCGCAAGTCCAATGCAGAGGTTGTGGGTGGTCTTTTCTAGGACATGCCCGAAACGAATCCTGCCTGCCCGAAACGAATTGTGAAAGTCGGGAAAAACAGCATCGACCCGGTACCTGCGTTTGCGACAGAACGAGATGAATAGACTACGTTCTAAAGAGCGTACCGAGCATTGCCTGACGTCAAGGGATCCTAAAGGTGAACCCTATTCTACGTGGACGTCTTCTTTTGCGATGGGATGGGATGAATCTCTGGAAGAGTACTTTCTGGCGAATAATCGAGGCAATTCCCGACGGAACAACATATGCTATGACTCCTTTATTTGGTTGTATAATTGATCTGTTAGTCATTGCACAGGCACATGTCCTCGCCCCTTACAGGTAACGCCAGGCTATTCCTTCTCTCAGGTGTGCGCTCTTAGTATCTTGTGTCGCGTCCCTTCGTTTGTTGTATCCAACCTTTTCTCATCCAGTTATCAAGCAGGCGAACTCCGCGGCGGCGGAGGGCGACGAAAACATGCGGCAGCAGCTACTAACGGCGAGCAGCCTTCTCTCTCGAAGTGGGATTGAGGAAGGGAACCCATGATACTTCGTATACTTTTGCCGCCATCGTCAGGAGGTCATTTGGACACCCCTGGACGGTGCAAGCCCTGTGAGGGGTGTGGCGCGCTCTCTTTCTCGTCGTCGGTATTGAATGTCATATATTTTATCGCAGAACATCATCTCGCCGAGGAGACGGACCGTCTTAAAAGCCTCCTTAATCGAGTACACAATACCAGTTCGTCTTGACCTGCTCCTGTGTGTACTTGGTGTTGCCGTGGTCTCTCGGTTCACCTCCATTTTCAGAAACGATTCGTTTTTTTCGTCCTTGGCGTGCATCATTACCGTAGGTCCGTATCTGGCCCCCTTACCCGAGATGGACAGAGCAAACGACCCTGCTTTCATGTACTTCCAGCATGATGATCATTGACGATGTACCAACAAGTCCGGTCAAGAGATCGCGAAGTGGTCATGATGTGATTTATGTTTACTCCACAGTATAGGATTATCATTTGGGGCTTTTTGGACGCGGCACCGGATAGTTGTGGCTGGCGCACACGTGTTTTCAGATCGTTTAGTATTTCCCTCCTTGTCGCCGCCCCATACCGAAAACCTTCGTGATAGATCAGACGACGCGGCCACAACGCTTCGCGTAGCAGCCAGCCTAAAACAGCTTCACCAGCGAAGACGAAAGATGTGGGTGTCTGAGGGCTGCCAATGCACCCACAGCTACAGGACCACATGAATATATCGCCTGTTATACGAGGTCGGTCGGGATAATAGTACTTGCTCTATAGTTGATGGCCCCGGCCGACCCGCCGTACCGGGCGGAGTACAGATCTTTCTCTGGCTTGCTCGCCTACCGATACGGACGCCCATGAGCCCGGTTAACTTGACGATAGTGATTTTTTCTACGCTTACCGTCTCGTGACAGATATTAGTCGATACAGAGTAACCGGAATCCGTGCGAGCAGAAACAGCATTGGCTTCCTTGTTAATTAAAAGCACGACGCATAATGCCTGTAATAATGTCCGTGAGCCCCGCTCTGGTGCCATCGTTCAGAGAATCAATTTGCTCAGAGGCATCTTTCAGCATCTCTATACACCCTACCATTGCCGCCTTCGCCGTTGCCAGCGACTGTTCGTGGGTCTGCGAACGTTAGTGTTGGATACATGTGCTACATGTGCTGGATGATTTGGTGTCACGCAGACTGGTAAGATTGCCGTTTGGTAGGGGGCACCGCGATGATTCACGGGGCCCCTCCTTACTGTGGGAGCCGCTCTTTGGGCACTCCCTCTTTCGTCCGTGTGAAGGACCGTCGTCGACCTCTCGTGAAGTTAAAACATCACCAAAACAGTCTCACCCGATAAAAAAGTGGCGTAGGCCGCAAACACTCTAGAGTTTTCCCCTCGAGGAAAGCCACATTGGGATGAGCTCTGCTGGAGACGAAGAGCGCACTGCTGCGAGCGGAGAACAGATCCGCCCGCCGGTGCAGGAGGGCAGCGATGCGGAGCTTACAAGTTTGCAACTACAGGTCTCACGATTGGCGGCCCTGGTGGAGGAGTCGATAAAGGAGAAGGAGCCTGGCAGCGTCGTGGTGGATGCAGCCAGTAATGGCGGCTGGGTTGCCGCCACCGAAGGCCAACAAGAAGAGTCCATGCAGCCGCTCGGCGGTGGCGGGGGATTTCTTCAGCAGCAAGCCAGAGATGGTGGGCAAGGACCATGGCAGCTGCTGGAAGGCGGCTGGGCCAGCAGATCGGGAGCGAACCCTGTTGGACCAGCCGGAGTGGGCCCGGGCATAGGACCGGACTACGGGGAAGCGAGGGGGTT